AGGTGAACCTCTGTCCCAGTCTCAAATCTCTGGAAGACAAACAGGTTTCCCTCACAAATTTCCCTGTATTTAGCGCCATCCAGCATTCCTTCAATTCTGACCAGTTTCCCAGTCCCTGCCGATGTAAAAAATCCCCACAGCATGATGCTGCCACCACCATGCTTCACTGTGGGGATGGTGTTCTCGGGGTGAGAGAGGTTTTGGGTTTGCGCCAGACATAGCGTTTTCCTTGATGGCCAAAAAGCTCAATTTTAGTCTCAACTGACCAGAGTACCTTCTTCCATATGTTTGGAGAGTCTCCCACATGACTTTTGGCGAACACCAAACTTGTCTGCTTATTTTTTTCTTTAATCAATGGCTTTTTTCTAGCCCTCTTTCGTAAAGCCCTGCTCTGTGGAATGTACGGCTTAAAGTGGTCCTATGGACAGAGACTCCAATCTCTGCTGTGGAGCTTTGCAGCTCCTTCAGGGTTATCTTTGGTCTCTTTGTTGCCTCTCTGATTAATGCCCTCCTTGCCTGGTCCATGAGTTTTGGTGGGCGGCCCTCTCTTGGCAGGTTTGTTGTGGTGCCATATTCGTTCCATTTTTTAATAATGGATTTAATGGTGCTCTGTGGGATGTTCAAAGTTTCGGATATTTTTTTATAACCCAAGCCTGATCTGTACTTCTCCACAACTTTGTCCCTGGCCTGTTTGGAGAGCTCCTTGGTCTTCATGGTGCCGCTTGCTTGGTGGTGCCCCTTGCTTAGTGGTGTTGCAGACTCTGGGGCCTTTCAGAGCAGGTGTATATATACTGAGATCATGTGACAGATCATGTGACATTTAGATTGCACACAGATGGACTTTATTTAACTAATTATGTGACTTCTGAAGGTAATTGGTTGCACCAGATCTTATTTAGGGGCTTCATAGCAAAGGGGGTGAAATCATATGCACACACCACTTTTCTGTTATTTTTTTTATTTTTTATTTTTAAACAAGTTATTTTTTTAAATTTCACTTCACCAATTTGGACTATTTTGTGTATGTCCATTACATGAAATCCAAATGAAAATCAATTTAAATTACAGGTTGTAATGCAACAAAATAGGAAAACGCCAAGGGGGATGAATAATTTTGCAAGGCACTGAATATGGCCAATACACCACGACTAAGGGCTATGTCCTGGCACTCCGCGTTGCGTCGTGCGTAAGAACAGCCCTTAGCGGTGGTATATTGGCCATATACCACACCTCCTCCGGCCTTATTTGCTCAAATAATGCAAACTCTAGAATGCCCTTCAAGCCAATCAGAAACAAGTTTTCAACAATGCCATGGTATAATACTGTATGTGACATATGCAATAATTCCCTCTACTTGTCATTTTCTAGACGTGCAATGGTAGGCTACAATTTTTTTTAAAGTATAGCAGTGCACTGCCCGAAGATACCCCTTCTAAAGTTGACCCCACTCTGGAAATGTACAGTATACAACTGAACAATACAGTATAGTACATTATAGTACAGTATAAAATGAATCAATACATCTATGAGCAAAATCAGTTCATATCAGTGTGTGTGCATGCATTTGGTAAAATACTGTATTTATTTTTTACTATGCCTTCAGAAAGTATTCATACCCCTTGACTTATTCCAACATTTGTTGTGTTACAGCCTGAATTCAAAATGGAGAAAAAATTTAATAAGAAATCCCATCTACACACAATACCCCATAATGACGAAGTGAAAACATGTTTTTAGATATTTTGGCAAATGTATTGAAAATGAAATACAGAAATATTGAATTGACATAAGTATTCAATACATGTTAGAATCATCTTTAGCAGCTGTGAGTCTTTCTGGGTAAGTCTCAAAGAGCTTTTCACACCTGGATTGTACAATATTTGCACATTATTCTTTTGAAAATTCTTCAAGCTCTTTCAAGTTGGTTGTTGATCATTGCTAGACAGCCATTTTCAAGTCTTGCCATAGATTTTCAAGCCTATTTAAGTCAACTGTAGCTAGGCCACTCAAGAACATTCAATATCGTCTTGGTAAGCAACTCCAGTGTATATTTGACCTTGTGTTTTAGGTTATTGTCCTGCTGAAAGGTGAATGTCTCCCAGTGTCTGTTGGAAAGCAAACAAAACCAGGTTTCCTCTAGGATTTTCCCTGTGCTTAGCGCTATTCCGTTTCTTTTAACCCCCAAAAAACTCCCTTGCCGATGACAAGCATACCCATAACATGATGCAGCCACCCTCATGCTTGAAAATATGAAGAGTGGTACTCAGTGATGTGTTGTGTTGGATTTGCCCCAAACATAATGCTTCGTATTCAGGACATGAAGTTCATTTCTTTGCCACATTTTTTGCAGTTTTACTTTAGTGCCTTGTTGCAAACAGGATGCATGTTTTGGAATATTTGTATTCTGTACAAGCTTCCTTCTTTTCACTTTGTCATTTAGGTTAGCATTGTGGAGTACCTATATCGGTTTCTCCTATCACAGCCATTAAACTCTGTAACTGTTTTAAATCCACCATTGGCCTCATGGTGAAATCCCTGAGCGGTTTCCTTCCTCTCCAGCGACAGTTAGGAAGGACGCCTCAATCTTTGTAGTGACTGGGTGTATTGATACACCATCAAAAGTGTAATTAATAACTTCACCATGCTCAAAGGGCTATTCAATGTCTGTTTTATTTTTACCCATCTACCAATAGGTGCCCTTCTTTGTGAGGCATTTGAAAACCTCCCTGGTCTTTGTGGTTGAATCTGTGTTTGAAATGCACTGCTCGACTGAAGGAATTTACTGATAATTGCATGTGTGGGGTACAGATATTATTATGTTATTATTGCGCACAGAGTGAGTCCATGCAACTTATTATGTGACTTGTTAAGCACATTTTTTTACTCCTGACCTGAGTTTATTTAGGCTTGCAATAACAAAGGGGTTGAATACTTATTCAATCAAGACATTTCAGCTTTTCATTTTTAAATAATTTGTAAAAATGTCTAAAAACATAATTCCACTTTGACATTATGGGGTATTGTGTGTATGCCAGTGACACCAAATCTAAATGTAATCTATTTTAAATTCAGGCTGTAACACAACAAAATGTGGAAAAAGTAAAGGGGTGTGAATACTTTCTGAAGACACTGTACAATACATTGCAATACATGCAGTTTGTTTTCTGCTCTTTACCTCTCTCGTTAGTCCACGTTTCTTGTTACAGTTTTTCTCAATTGCTAAAACACTCAAACCCATTGGCTGAACAACGTTCTCAGTTGCCTGGACTCATTTAGCTAATTATGCAGCCTGTTGTCAATACCTTAAACCATTTCACATGGTAAAACACAATTTGCAGATCTCACTTAGACTTTTCAGTAAAACTCTAAACACATTCTCATTCTCAAAACACATTCTGCACTCTAATGCACATGTCATCCATACTGGTAAACACAAGTGGCAACAATCAAATACAAATAGACAACACATGTCATTGATTGAACACAACCACTCAAAATTGATTTAACCTGTTTCAAATGATGCGACACAACCAATATAAGCCAGTTCAGAGAGCAAACAGGTTGTTGAAGGTGGGAAGGAGAAAGTCTGAGAATGGATAGAAGAAACAATGTGAGAGGATGAGGACGAGTGCGTATGCGAGGTGGGCGACGAGGAGGAAGAGGAGGAGGAGGGCAAGAAAGAGGAAGAGGAGGAGGAAGACAAAGAGTGGAAATATCTGATGAAATTCGAGCAACAGTCATAGACCATGTTCTTGTCCATGGACTGACAATGAGGGAACCAGGACTGCAACCCAATTTGAGTCGATTTTCTGTGTCCACCATAGTAAGGACATTCAGAGAAGAGAACAGGTACAGTATACTACTGTATTTTTGTAATTGCAAATTTACTGTTCTACACTATATGCAGCTGTTTCAATAGACATTTGTAAAGTTAATCACTGTATGTATTGTACTGCATGAATATGTTTTGTAACTGCACAACTACTTTTTGTAGAATTGCAAGGCTGCCACATGCAGGTGGAAGGACAGCTATATTCACTCGGGAGCAAGAGGCCGTTATAGTTGGCATGGTCCTTCAAGATAATGCAATACGACTCAGAGAAATCCAGGAACGAGTGATACAAGACAACACACACTTCCAGGGAATCGAGCATTTCCACTATTGACCGTGTCCTCCAACGTAACAGGATGCGAATGGAACAAGTATACAGAGTACCTTTTGAGCGCAACTCACCAAGGGTGAAAGAACTGCGAGCTCAGTATGTGCAAGTAAGTGTACATTCAGAAACATTTACTGTAATCCAGATTGTCTACAGTACTAACACATACTATGTGAATGACATTACTCTTCAGTACATACAATGTATGTGAATCAGAAGTGCATACAGTAGGCCTAATTGTACTCTACAGTATAGCACTGTCTCTGTAAGACTTACAAAATCCTACATACAGTATATTGTATTTCTACACAGACAATATTTGACTTGGAATCCTTGGACAGACCCCATGAGTTCATCTTTGTCGATGAAGCAGGCTTCAATCTAACAAAGAGGAGAAGGAGAGGCCGAAACATGATTGGACAGCGGGCAATTGTTGAAGTCCCTGGTCAACGAGGTGGCAATGTCACAATCTGTGCTGCTATCAGCAACCATGGTGTTCTACATCACCATGTTACACTCGGGCCATATAACACCCAGCACCTTCTAAGATTTATTGCCAATCTAAGAGATATTTTATTTGAGTAGCAGGTTCAAGAGCAGCAGGGTCAAGCGCTAAATGAGAATCCCATTCCCACCTATGTGATAGTGTGGGACAATGTCAGTTTCCACCGAGCTGCTCCGGTAAGGGAATGGTTTAACATCAATGGGCAGTTTATGAACTTGTACCTACCTCCATACGCGCCTTTCCTGAATCCGATTGAGGAGTTTTTCTCCGCTTGGAGATGGAAAGTGTATGATAGACAACCCTACACCAGAGTAAATCTGCTGCAAGCCATGGATTTAGCCTGTCATGTCAAGGACACTGAGAGGGGTGGTAGGTCCGGACCCAGGGGCCAGTCCATGTCTGCTCCAAGTCAGAAGACTCAGAAACCAGAGACAGTTCGCATCATCACAAAGGACCTTATCCGAGACCTGAAGCAAGTATCAGTCAATACCTCAATTTCTCATTCGGTTACAATGTGATCATCAAGTCTAATGCTTTGTGAACATACCAGTACTACACTTAGCATTGTTTATTACGGTTTACTTATTATAAAAGAGAATGCCATCCAGTTCCATAAACCTACATTGCACCAATAAACATATCCCACAATCACATTTTACAAGTGGTGGTGAATTACAAAAAAACAAAACAAAGCTGTCATTTTGCCAGGATCCCAAGAAAGGATCCGTCTGGGCTGTCTGTCATCCTCCGCCCAACTGAGATCGAGCGGATCAGAAGAGCTTCTCGGGTTTCAACCAAGGAGGAGCTGGAGGCCACGCTGGAAGCCCAGAGGAGGGAGAGAGAAGCAGCTATGGTGAGAAAGGACGAATGCACCTGATGAATTTGTAAGCAACCTTTCAACATGAAATCTGGGTGACTAACTGGCAGTACAGGGTCCCAGCTACAGCACTACACCCTTGTGGAGATGTAACAGCAATAAACCAAACTAACCTCTGCACTGTTCTAATGTTGCTGTTTTTTCTGACAAGGATGCTGCTGAGGATCGGAAGGCCCATATCCGCCAGGCTGACTGACCTTTCTCGTCAGAAGAACCAGGACCTAAGTGAGCTGGAGGCCGAGGCCAAGGAAAGAGCTCAGTACCTGCTGGAGAGGGCCAACGCCATGAGGATGGAGCAGAAGGACGAGGTCAAGAAACTCAATGAGGTACAGCAAGAGAATCAACCGGTCACTCTCTCATTGCTCACTCTTTCTCTTTACTTTGCTACTCTTTGTTATTTGTTTTATCTCAGCTTCAGTCCCAATATCACTGCAATATCACACATTTCCCAAGTTATTCTACCCATGCCCAGTCCAGACTCTTCCATCTCTGTGTCATTGTGGGTGTCGTGTATGGTACCTTATTGTTGTGGCCAGTTGATCCTGGGTGCCCAGTGCCACGCGGTGAGGGATGCCCAGATCATAGAGAGGCAGCAGATCCTGGCTGAGCTGCAGGAGGAGGAGAGGCGACTGGATGCCATGATGGAGGTGGACCGCAGGAGAGCCCTGGAAGCCCAGGAGCAGGTCGACGAGCTGCGCAAACACCAGAGGATCCAGTGAGGGGCACACATGCTCACACACACATACACACCCACACAATGGTCCATTTAAAGTCAAATACACTACATCGCCTCAGCTGTCTTCCCTGTGTGTGTCTATAGGGGAAAGCAGCTGATTATAAACCAGATTGAGGAGCGTCTGGAGGACAGGATGCTGCAGAATGAGATGAAGGAGCAGGAGGGCCAGCAGATGCTGGAGAACCTGGAGAGGATGCAGATGGAGGAGCTGGAGGTATTGTTAGTTAGAGACAAGTCTCCTTGTACAGTACAACATTCTTATAGCAAGGCTAATGTATTTCCACTTTGAATTTCAGTTAGAAATTCCTCATGAATTAGCCTGGTCCAAAATCTGTTTGTGCTCTTGCAACTCATGAATATCATTCATGAATTAATCAAATCAAATCAAATGTTATTGGTCACATGCGCCGAATACAACAGGTGCAGACATTACAGTGAAATGCTTACTTACAGCCCTTAACCAACAGTGCATTTATTTTAAACAAAAAAAGTAAAAATAAAACAACAACAACAAAAAAAAGTGTTGAGAAAAAAAAGAGCAGAAGTAAAATAAAGTGACAGTAGGGAGGCTATATATACAGGGGGGTACCGTTGCAGAGTCAGTGTGCGGGGGCACCGGCTAGTTGAGGTAGTTGAGGTAATATGTACATGTGGGTAGAGTTAAAGTGACTATGCATAAATACTTAACAGAGTAGCAGCAGCGTAAAAAGGATGGGTGGGGGGGCAGTGCAAATAGTCCGGGTAGCCATGATTAGCTGTTCAGGAGTCTTATGGCTTGGGGGTAGAAGCTGTTGAGAAGTCTTTTGGACCTAGACTTGGCACTCCGGTACCGCTTGCCGTGCGGTAGCAGAGAGAACAGTCTATGACTAGGGTGGCTGGAGTCTTTGACAATTTTGAGGGCCTTCCTCTGACACCGCCTGGTATAGAGGTCCTGGATGGCAGGAAGCTTTGCCCCAGTGATGTACTGGGCCGTACGCACTACCCTCTGTAGTGCCTTGCGGTCGGAGGCCAAGCAGTTGCCATACCAGGCGGTGATGCAACCAGTCAGGATGCTCTCGATGGTGCAGCTGTATAATTTTTTGAGGATCTGAAAAATCGTAATGCAGTTACTGTAGGCAGAACGAATAATAAACGTCAGAATGGTGTGTGTGTGTCCCAGGCTCTGGAGAGGAAGAAGGAGGAGCAGCAGCGTCTGCAGCAGGAGATCCTTCGTATCAATGATGAAAGCCTGCTGGCCAAGGAGCGCAAGAAAGAGGAGGAGAGACGGAGTACACCCACAAGAAAATGGTAAGAGGTACTCCATTATGAACTTCTTAATTATTGGTCTTTGGCCTTCTTGTTTTGGTAAGAAAGCAGAAGGGCAAAACAGTTGTCTAAGGCTGTGTTTACACAGGCAGCCTAAGTCTGATCTTTTCCCACAAATTGGTCTTTTGACCAATCAGATCAGCTCTTTTGCCAATAATTGAGTAAAATATCAGAATTGGGCTGCCTGTGTTAAAGCAGCCAAATATACTTTTGTGTGACCCCTACAGGAGCGGGAGGCTGAGTACGAGGCTGAACAGAGACGCATCAAGAGTGAGAAGGAGAAGGAGGTGGCCAGACTGCGAGCCCTACAGGAGAGAGACAAAGACCACAAGGCAGAGCAGGTGAGCAGCACCAAAGTTCCATTTGTTTTACAGTGGCTCACACTGACCTGTTGTTGTCGTAATTGATCATAAAAGGAATGGAGGAATGGTTACAGTGGTTTTGTGTATGACTTTGTCAGGATGAGCTTCGAGCCAGGAGGAACCAGGAGGGAGCGGCGAGGGATTGGAGGAGAAAAGAGAAGGAGCACCTCAAGAAGAAGGTGGATGTTGAGGAGAGGTTGAAGGCAGCTCGCTTGGAGCAGGTCACACACAAGGAGCACCTCCTGTCCATCGAGGCTGGGCGAGAGAGGGCTGGGTTTGAGAGGGTGTTGAGGTGCACCATGACACAATGTAAATGTACCCAGTGAGCACACACTGGTTGAATCAACGTTGTTTCCACGTCATTTCAATGAAATTATGTTGAACCAACGTGGAATAGACATTGAATTGACGTCTGTGCCCAGTGGGTAGTTACTACTGTACTAACTTGATCACACACTTGTATTACAGTTGGGCGGTTTCATAAATCAAAGCATAACACTATGCTATGTCTTGGACAACCAGGTTTGAAAGTGTTAGCAAAGGCCTCTGTATTAGCAGTAGAGTTTTACAGTATTTTTTTCTCACCCCAGGGCCCAGCAGGCATCCATCTGTAAGGAGAAGGACAAGGAGGAGAAACACAGGATCAAGATGTTGCGTCACGCGGACGGGGTGCGCCAGCAGGTAAGGGAGCGGGAGATGCAGGCCATCGCCCTGCGCAGGGAGGTCTACAAAGAGGGAGACCGGCTGGACAAGGAGGCCCGTCATCGTCGCATCCGCCTTGACGAGATCAAGGAGAAGAAGCTCAGGGAGCTCAAGTAAGTACAGGGACTGGGTAGGGACTAACTATTTACAGGGACTGGGTAGGGACTAACTCTATTTACAGGGACTGGGTGGGGACTAACTCTGTACAGGGACTGGGTAGGGACTAACTCTATTTACAGGGACTGGGTGGGGACTAGCTATGTACAGGGACTGGGTAGGGACAAACTATGTACAGGGACTGGGTAGGGACTAACTCTATTTACAGGGACTGGGTAGGGACTAACTCTATTTACAGGGACTGGGTGGGGACTAACTCTGTACAGGGACTGGGTAGGGACTAACTATTTACAGGGACTGGGTGGGGACTAACTATGTACAGGGACTGGGTAGGGACAAACTATGTACAGGGACTGGGTAGGGACTAACTATGTACAGGGACTGGGTAGGGACTAACTATGTACAGGGACTGGGTGCGGACTAACTATTTACAGGGACTGGGTGGGGACTAAGTCTATGAACAGGGACTGGGTAGGGACTAACTCTATGTACAGGGACTGGGTGGGGACTAACTATGTACAGGGACTGGGTAGGGACTAACTATGTACAGGGACTGGGTAGGGACTAACTATTTACAGGGACTAACTATGTACAGGGACAAGGTGGTATGTACAATTGAGGGGAACAGAGGATAGTCAGGATGGTCAGGTTTAGTTTTGTAATTAATGTTTGTTAATTTTACTTGTAGGGCTGCTGGACTTCCAGAGAAGTATTGCAATGAAGTGGAGAAAATGGTCCATGCTCTCCCTCACTAGCATGACTGACAGACTGCATCACAAACCCTGATACTAATGAAAGACTTCACAATGGAGATAAATTGGCACCACCATCACACTTTTTGACAGGGTAGAAAGAAGAAAATGAATTGTTACAGGGTAGAAATCTAGTGTAGCACATTTGTATTAGTGATCATTAGGTAATTTCTGAATAAAGAGGACTATACATTACATACTATGAATGTTTTTAATTTTACTGTAGGCATGACCTTGATTAAGTAGGTGCACATGAACTATTCAACTGATTGAAGAAAACATTCAAATTGATTGTTTATATATTGACTTAAATGTGATCATGTGAAAACATAAATTATTCTTTGTAGGATAAAATAATTGGACTGTGCCTAACAGCTTCCAGTCATACAGGACCCAAGATTTTATCTACAGGATATAATTTTTGATTTGGTCTGCATTATATTTATCTTTCAGCATGGTCTTTATGACAAATGTTTTATTGTTAATGTAATAGAAAAGGAATGTTCAGCGCTTAGGATGACACTTTACACACACAGCTCAAAGCACATCGGGAATACATCAAGGTAAATCCAGGCTTTTATTTCAGACCATTCTTGACAAAGAACTGTATGCTGTAGTACTGAGATCTAATTATTCATAATAACCATCGAAATACATAACCTACAGGAGTGTTACTGATCTAAACAAGTTGACATTAGGACACCAAAGGAGAACGGCCCTGTCCTCCAATTGTTCTCAGAGCCAATCGCACTGACTGAACCAAAACGGGACAGGGCCGTAGAGGAGGACGCGCAGGATATCCACTTTTTTTTTTTTTTAACGATCCTTCTTCTGTACACACAAAAATATGGTGACCTAGAACACCACAACACCTGGCATACACGGACCTCAGCACAAGGAGGGTGATGAGTAAATACAAACGTACGGGTCTGAAGTCAGCCTTCGATCCCCCTGCACATACACAGTCTCACACACAAGCACTGTACACGGCACAACAGAAGGTCACCTAGATTAAAACACACGGAGCCATCAAAGGAGGATTAACATCTACTGGGGTTGACTGGAGAGCCAGTATAGGCCAAGGGGGATTAAAATTCTTATTTAGATCATTAGATCACACACATACACTCACATACATCTGTATGCATTTAAAACTCCATAAAGCTACACGCCTGTGCAGAATATACTATCGTTACTTAGTGTTGAAGTGGCAATATATGTTCAAATATTATATGTAACCTTTTTTCAGAATATACAATAATGAAATGCATTATACAGACAGACAATGTAAGCTGTTCACACGTTCAGTACATCAAAATTAAGAGTTTCTATATTAGTTTCTTCTCACGACAGAGTGCAAATCAGATCCTTCAACTACTTCAAAAGGTTAATTGCTTCTTTCTCAAGTCCACTTACATAACATAAACCCATTAAAAAAACTATTACACACAAAAAACCTTAATTCTAGTAAGTGTTAAGTAGTCAAATATGGAATGTGAAAAGAAAAAGAAAGTGGTCCAATTTCTGTTCAAAACAATACAAATAAAAGTCCTTTGCAGTTTAAGGGAGAACATAATACAAATAATTTAATGAGCGCAGGTTTGCTTGTTGTTTGTATCCCCTATTGTGAGTAGAAGAGCATGGTAAGCTGGTGAGGAACACAAGGAGAGACAAACAGGTGACTCAGGGGTGGTGGGCGTTCACATGCCGTAGCCAAAGCCAGGCTGGGGAGGCTGGCCGTAGCCGGCGGGTGCTGCTGGGTAGCCGTAACCTCCATAGCCAGGCTGGGAGGGCACGGCCTGACCAGGGCCTGAAGTGAGCATGAGCTGGGGCGTGCCTGCAACACAAACACGGAGGACACTAGCATGAGCTTCATGACAAGACTACTAATATACAAACACACTTCAAAAGGGTTAACATTGCCCAGGTGCTAAAACAACAAAGCATAATAGGCGCTCCTTTAGCATATTCAACCAATAGAGCGGCAGGGGTATGTAGAGGTCAGGTCGTCGTACCATAAACAATGGGCTGGGACTCTGTGTTCTGCTCCTCCTGTTTCCTCAGGGACTCTGAGGCATCAAGCTTGTCGACCTGTGAGGCAGGCAGAGAGGTGAGCATGTTAACCACAGACACAACCAGCAAGGGGTGCTCTAATGAGATGCCATTATAACTGACCTCTGGGTTATTTCACTGGCTGGCCGATGGGACCATTCCTGACAGGCAGAGATGAATAAAGTCAAGATTAAAACAGGCCGCAAGAGGCAGGCCATGCTACGGGGTGTGGGATAGTTTTTTAGTCAGGCACTGTCACTAGTTGCTACTGGCTATACTAGCTACCAAGCTTGACCACGACAGCCCAGCATTAGGGTTGTAAAGGAGTCTAATTTCAGATTAGATACACACAGCTAGGCCTAAACAAAACACATATAAATAAATAAATGGTCCCACCATCCAGCCACCAGATGCATCTATTTCCATGTGCTTGGACAGTATGTAGAGAACCAAACCCATTTCAACATCTCTAATATGGGCCAACATCACAGAAATCTAACTACTAGGGATTACAAGCACTACCACAACGCTAACACTAACAAGAAACTCTCCCTACCATGAAGTAGAACAAACAGATATAATGAATCAACTGGAAACCACAATAAAAAAGCTCTAAATGGAAAGATTATACTTATATTAAATTGTCAATAACCAGCAAATAAGACAAATCTTTATCATGTCGGTCCTCTTGATTAGTTGTTAAGCAGCTTAGAGCAGGAATTGTAAAAGACAAAAAGGCAAGACTGACAATTCGCAGGATCAAGCAAGCAGCATCTTGAATATGAGAGAAATACACAACCTATGCATCCTGAATATTCACAAGATCACTTCAACAAAACCATGATAAGTCATTTATGAATATACTTCTCTCCTGTCAGATCACAACGTAGGGTTCAGTTCTCTACATACTTGCCGTCTGGCAAAACAGTCAGTACGTTGTTTTAAGATACAGGTAAACAGGCTGTAGGTTCATTGAAGGGGAAAGAGACATGCTGAAGCGGCAGTTAGGTAATTTCTCTGTTTAGAAGAGTGCATGAGAGAGGCAGAGAGCCACAGTGGAGGGAGTGAGAGGATGGAGGGATGGTTTGTACGGCCAGTCAAGGCGTCCAGAAGCAGGCACAGCCAACAACGATGTCTCCTAGCCTGTCCAAAGTGCTGCTAATGCTATGGAGGGGGAAACTCATGCTTGCCCTCAACACAATATAAGTATGTTAGACGCGTTCCACACCCTATGCACACACAGTACCCTGCTTGTCATTGAAGAGATCACACTTTACAGTTCTGGAGTAGCAAAGAACTAATACAGTAAAACTAATATAACAAATAAAAGGAACAAAAATATAATAAAATATAAAAAATGTCTACATACATGATACAATTTGTTGAGGATATTTACTAATATATCTAAAACTTGGCATTTTTTACTTTGAGAGTTAATTCTGTAAACAGTTACATAAGAGGAGGGAACTCTGAAAGAATGGTCACAATTTCCATACAGAGTATGTTCTATTCTCCCACGTTGCAGCTGTCTAAAGCTGTGCATAGCCCAAATATGAGGCTACATAACTTTGCTATAAGGACAACATTCAACAATGTTGGCCTTAAGCGCTGGTCAGACCACATTCAATGTGGTCCCAGTGCTGTTTTAACATTAATTTCAGTACAAATCAAACCCCATTACTCTACCAAGGTTGACCACTAAATGGCAAGTGGTACAGATTCTCACAGCCTCAAGCCAACAGCAGACTGGAGCTCAGTGATATTACAGACAGCGGTAGTTTCATTAGTATCTACAGGTCTAAGGGAGAGTAGTCTGACTACAGTAAGTAGAGCTCTCCTTTCCTGCTCCTGGACAGTTACGGAGTTTGCTGGTTTATGTGGACAGCCTCAATGGAATGGAACTAAACATCCCTCTGTTTGGGTGTTGCTGGGGTGAATGAGTTCCTGAATGGTCAGTCACTGATTCAACCCTGGAACAAAGAGCAATAGCTAATAGAGCCATCCCAAACCCCAGCAGCTCCCTAGAGGCAGGGTGGGAGAGCCCCACTCCAGACCACTCTGGGTGGGCTGTCTAGTCAAGGTGTGGTGTGGACTCAGAAGCAGCAGTGACATGGGGAGGGGACAGACTCATGCAGTTTCCTCTAGTTTCACTCCTCCAAACTACAGACTACAGGGGGTCAAAAAGAATGACTGGAA